GCGCGTCAGGACCGGCTGACCCGAGCCATAGGTGACCCGAGTAGTTAAGGAGTATCTGGTAGTTTCACAAGAGAATATAAATGAGTAACAGAAAGACAGGTGTTGCAAGAGGGTGTAAAGGCTTTCACTAGAGTCCTCCGGTCTTGCTGGATAAAGAAGGACGAACGGAGATATTACTAGGTTAAGTCTTACCGTCTACGGTTAGTATGTTGAAGTCTGTCGTTGTATACGTATTGATGCTGTATGTTTGGGTGTGTAAACGCGTGAACAAAATCTGCCGAAATATTTCACACAACTTACGCGAGTTTAAAACTTATGACAAAGTTGGACGCTGGACAGTCCTTAGCTTGCTTACCGTCCCCGTGTAACTTAGTGGAACCTACAACACCGCACGCAGAAGGCCCGCACCCGCACACCCACTCCCAGCCCAGACCTGCCCGTTGCGTCACACACCCTAGTAGGTAAGTCCTTATTACTATTCAGTACACGACCCAGAGAGCCTGAAGTGGTAAAAGTGCACTAAACTTCTCACCGACCGAAAGCCTGCCATGGATAACAGTGCACTAAAACTTCGTTCGACAGCATCAAGTGACACAGAAGATAAAAACATGTATCCATAATCAGGCCCAACTTCGAAGGCAAGCAGTCCGAAGTACAGTTTGACGGTAGTGATGACAGGTTTGGAGTTTGGTCAGTGTGAGTTTGAGGTGATACCGGTTCTGGTTTCTCGCAGTTTCCTGTGGGTCTTCGTTGTTTAACGATCCTGGAACGTGGTCCACGACGCACATTTCTGACGTTAAGACGTTGGAATCCATACGTACGAAACAAGCAACTTCTATAGGTTGAGCAGCAGCACACCAAAAAATACGATTATCAATGCTTACCTTCTGTATGTCTGGTGACTAATTAAAAAGAGGGACAAGACTGACACCCGAAGAGATCGCGTATAAGAGTGGGGCAGCCCCAGTTATATAGCTAGTGATTTAGCCCCTCGTTTGTGAGGGTCTTGAACACGATGGTGTGCCGCCCTCAAGGACTCAGATATACTGACGATCTACTCGACCCTGAGTTTCATTAGTATTATCCACTGGTAGTCATTTGGTGAGCGGTCCCTGCGTTGTAGGACAATCACAAGGATCATGCAAAGGGGAAGACGAATTCGCGTCATGTCACAGGTCCGGGTACGACTCTCAGAAGATCTCTCGTAAAATCTACTAGAGTACTTCTAGTAAACACCAACTCATATAGAGTAACGCAGTCTACTTTGGTTGTATCGATGAAAAACCATTTTTACTAGTTGATCTACAAGAACCTACAGCTACTAACTTCTTACGAACTCCAGACGTAAGGTTATTTGATGGGACATCAGGATGACAACTATTCGAAATAAACCCCCACCTTTGGTAGTACGAAACCCCACGACAAAACAGAACGTTTCCTCGGTCCTGCATAAAGAACTGAGCAACTATTTCCTTTTCTACTTACCCCCGGTACCAATAGCAACTTAAAACTACTGTTGGAGAGAAGGTATTCGTTCCCGTAACTTCTCATTTGAACACACCCGACCCAGAAAAGGCGTACTGTCCATACAGGGCTGGTGTGTGGCGCCCCCCGAGCCCACACCGATACAACTGCTTACCGGACCGCGGTTCTGCCGTGCGACACGCGGCCTCACGGATGGTCGAGAGGTTCAGAGTTGGGGTAATCTTGTCAGAACACGTCGTCGTCCGTCATTCAAAAATTGGGATAACGGACCACTAAACTAAATATTAGCACAACCTCTGGGAGGCGCATAGTGAACACCTGCAAAAACCCCACCCCAAAGGGGTATACCCAGTAGAAAGAGGTGAAAAGTAAACGTTATTGAAGCAACCAACACAACACGTTTACCGGACTAAAAAACAATGATTCCGATAAAGGCTAAGATAAAAAACCCATTAAGAAGAGTTAAAGAATAACAGATTAGCAAGACAATTAAGACATAGACACATTGTTAGTAAGCCAGAAATAAGCCGTGTAGAAAATTAATATCAGCTAAGCTCTGTTTAAAAGGGTGACGTTTATGAAACTTTTTTGTATAATAATTTTTTCGCAAAAAAGTGTTGACGAAAACCAAAGGTTAGAAATTTCCGTTGAAGGCGCGGATTATCTCTTCTATATGGTTACTATTACATCAATAAAGTCAAAAGTCCTAAAATTGGGCAAATTTAGACAGGTACAAGCTTTTGGGTACTATTGGCGGCACAACAAAAGTACTCACACCTTTTGCTCTCTTTTATCAATAAAGGTTTTGTATAGTCATAGAAGACCACTAGAGACATGAAAAAAAAAATATTGGTCAGAACCATACAAGTTCTACTCGTAACCCAAAAAGGTGTTTAGGTCTAACGTCGTTTTTCCGACATCCGCACTAGCTAATCAGTCACAGCCTGCTTCATAATTCACCAGGTGAAGGTCGCTCTGACAGAGATTTATCACATTCTTGTCTGAATTGCATAAAACAAATGTGAAACACCCAATTGTAGAAAGTTAGTTGAGGCTCTTTTCAAGTTGGACTGATGATGGTGTGTCGATATAAATACACTGTTTTAATAATCTTTGGTTAAGTACGCAGTCACCAATTGGGCCAACCCTTGCCGTCCACCCTTTTGCTCGCCCTAACGCCACCACACCCATCTCTTCAACGTACAAAAGTGATCGAGTACTCTAATACGCCAACAGATGCTCTCTTGTACGTTTTTTTCAAACAGGTGCCATTAATACAGTTAACGAGTGGAGGACAGAGGAGGCTCTTAAAGAAGAAGTTACAGGTCTGTGAGAGCCAGAAATCTTGTTTGTTTGTAGGGGACCAAATACTTATTTTCCACCATAATTTGCAAATAAATTCTTTAAAAATCAGACAATGTGATGTTCTTTCTCATTTTGTCTCTCATAGTTGAGGTATACCTAGGATGAAAATTACAGGCCTCTCTCATCTTTTTAAGTGGGAGAACTTGCACAATTGGTGGCTGACTAAATACTTTTTTGCCCCACTGTATAATAGTTAATATCCTACGTTCTTATATTTAATGTATTTATTATATTTCTTTTGTTCACACATTGTCTGACCTGCTGGATTTTTTTCACTTGTTTATAAAGAGAAAATAAAAGATGAAAACAGCTTCACTGACATCATCTGCTGGGCTATGGCCAGAAGAGCAGCTGGGTGCACCCAAAGACCAGGGTGTGGTTAACTATTCAATGTCAATGTAACATTAACAAACCATTAATTGATACAGCTTCTTTTTCGTTTAACTACAACATTACCACTGTTTAATTAGGTTCAATGTTGTACACTTTTTTAGCTGAAAACTTCAGACGAGCGAACTTACTTCCACTTCATATCCTGCAGCATGGGCACAGCAGGCACCATGGACGAAGTGCCGATCGTGCCAAACCAATATGACCCTGTCTTTTTTATAGCATATAAGTAAATTTAAGTAGTTTGGACAAGAATAATTATGATCTAAATGAAGGTATAAACGTTGTAGATGTTTAGTCTTACCTTCCTGGGTGGAAGCGTATGGATGCAGAACAGCAATGCGTTTCTTCCTCTTTTCAGACTCACTGCACAAAGTGTTCATTATCACCATCCAGTGACTACAGCCAGAACTACATGTATGTCTCATATTTAGGTTTAATTTACTTAACAGTGTGAAATATAAACGAGTGCGCGTGTTTTTAAGAAGTGTGGATTTTAATTGCTGGGTTCAACGTGTACTGGTAGTGGTAGGATACATACATCCTTAAGTTTACCTCTGCAGGTGAACACGGCAACAACAGGGTTAAATCCTGGAAACAAACACGTGAAGGAGGGGCGTGTTTGTGTTGAGTAAAGAAGCCGGAAATCAGCAATAACTTCCGATCATTATAGACAATAATCCCAGAGAATGCGTCTCAGGTTTCAAGATATTTTCTATAGCAGTGAGTTAGTCATTGGAAATACAAATATTGCATCTTAGGCTATAAACGTACATTATATCAAATAAAGTAATATTTTGTAATGTTCTGTTGTAGTGATTTTAATGGTTATATAAGACATTTTATTTTGCAAAATCAAGTGCATTAGGTTTAGTTATTATATATTCACATTATTGGCAAAGTTGTGCTTTATTGAGCTTTGCAAAAAGTCAGATACAATAATACTTTTATATAACTTGTTTTGATGTCTAGTTCTACGAACATGTTATAACAAACAGCACTATGTGTCCCTATACTTTCTAAAAATAAAAACTCTTAATAACACAAAAATAACCCATTAGAAATAACGAATACTGGAAGGAGAAGAATGTAATTTGCTTTAGTAAAATTAGGAATTCTTTAAAAATGTTCACGGTATTGGCGGCAGAAACCCTGTGTTTTATTTTGTAGGGTGGGTATCCCAGGTTTCCGGTTTTAGGTTTATGCAACTGGCCTACAGGACAGGCTGTGTTATCAAACTGAGTCCTGCGGGTATGTCACGCTCTTCTTATTTCGGGTTTATACTTATTCCAGTTTCGTGTGTTTTCGAGTGTTTTGTACAAAAATGCTCGCTAATTTAGATTAATATTGTCAGGCTAACATTAGCACATTAAAGCTGACAGGCAGACAAAGCTACCAGCTAGCTCAGGTATCAGAACAAAGTGTACTGGAAGCTCAATTACCCTGTTTCATCTAAATGTAACCGTTTGTCATGATTGATGTGCAAAGAGCAGCAACCTGTAGCCGGTGGTGTAGCTAAACAAAAAAAATTAAGTTAGTTTAATGTACTTATAATTATGTATAAAAACAACTTGTATTGGGTTAACACACCCCCATGAAAAAAGCATAAAGTGAATGACAAGTTTGAAGGGTTGGCACTAGAGCTGTGATATGTCGTTAAAGTCTTTACATATATGTCCTTAACCAAAGTTATTTCACTCCCCTCTTCCCCTGTAGTTGTCATAGTCAGATCACGTGTGGACAGATGAGGGGAAGCTGCTGACAGCATCATTTTCAATGGGAGCACACTGAAAGGTAAAGAAAGGAAAACTCTCTATATCAATGTTAAACCCATTTCCCACCAACAGTATTTATCCTCGTTCTGAAATTTACTTTATCAACATGGTTGAGTTGACAAACAGTCCATATCATTATTTCATCAACACACTGCAGCCATCCTGTTTAATGGCTCTGTGTTGAAGCCACATTTTCTCACCGATATTTACACTGTGCTATGATCCAGGATTATGTCCAAGTTTAATGTGACAAAAGTGAAATCTACCTCCTATACAAATACATATTTATGTGGTAACTGCTTAACAATATAAAGAAAAAATATCTGCCATTTTTAAGCTCACTGCTTTCAGTGTTTTTTGGCCCTTAAGAGCCATTTTTCTTAATGAATGTTAACTTCCGAGTTATAAAACATCACATCATCTCCTCAACACGAGTAGAGTTTAAAGTTTGAATTATCAAAGTCCAACATTGATAAACTTGAAAGTCTGCCAACTAAGTATTTTTAATTTTGGTTTTAAGTAACTCCCTGCTTCACTGCTCTGTGTATCATTTGTTGACATCTGTCCTCTGTGCACAGGTCTTCAGTGTAGAACCTCAGACATTTCCCATCATGCAACTGGAGGCTAAGCTGCGTCTATGTCAGAGTTGTCTTTGGTGCTACAAGAGCGGGCTGCGTCTGCTCTCCCAGAGCTATGCTCACAGGTAGACTTTGTGTATAGTATATTTACATGTATATAGAACATATAGTATGTATAGTATATGTGTATAGGAGAGTTAGGCAGCATTTAGTCTCTATAGTCCTCTCCAATCATCTGTTAACACCTTTAAATACAATCTTAAACATATGTTTTACTTATCATTCTCTTAGTCTTAATTCACTAAAGCATATTTTAAAATGTTACCCAACATCTTTTACTGTGGTATGTTGATTGTATTGTTGTAATTGCACTGTTTTGTAAAGTGTTTTTTATTGTTACATTTGACAACTTGTGCTGTATAAATGAATACAGTTTAACATGCCTTTGTGTCTGTTTTGTTGAATCAGAACCACTGAAACAGTTTAGTGATTGTATTTGGTTGGTTATGAGTTTTTGCTTTCTCAACCCCAGAAAAGCTGTGAACTACTACGATCTACTCGACGTCAAATCTGATGCCTCCTTGGAGGAAATAAAAAATGCATTTTTCAACAAATCTAAAAAGGTAAGGTCCTCATTTGTTAACAAGCTCTTCATTAGAGAACATTTCCAGCCACATGAGGGCAGCCTTTCCACAGACTAACTTTTATTCAAACTGTTCCCACAGAAAGCTTCCTAACTGTTTGTTTTCATGTTATTGGTTCCAGTGTAAATAAGGATGTGCATGTGTATTTACCTTGTGGCTCTGTCATAATTGAGCATAGAGATAAGTTCACCATTAGACAAAAAAAGCATGGTTGAATACATTTGTTTAGCAGAAAAAAGTGTGTGTCTAAAATGCAAGTAAACATGTTCAGATGTGTAAATGTCTGCATGTGTGAGAATATATCCCTGGCTTAATGTTTGGTTTGGTCCCTGGACCTCATTACTGTAACGCTCTCCTTGCAGCTGCACCCAGACAGCGACCTCTCCAACCCGGCGCTGCACGGCCAGTTTGTGGAGCTGAGCGAAGCGTACCGAGTGCTGAGCAAAGGGCCGAGCAGGAAGGAGTATGACTTCAAAATCAGGCATACGTACAGTGGAGGCCAGGCCTTCAGATCCACTGCCAGCTACACCAGCTACACCAGCTACAAAGCAAGGTGGAGACACACACAACCTGCCAGTTAGTACTTGCTAATGAGTCTCACGTCACCTGACCTTCTTCCTCACTCTCTATCAATGTTAATGTGAGGGGAAAAGTTTGGATGATGTCCTTTTTTCAGGTTTTCAATGTCATTTAGTTTAACTTTCAAAATAAGGCCCTGTGGTGTATTATTTATTTGCTGTCATGCTCTCATAGTACAGTCTAATATTGTAAAGACTGAATAACTGAGACCTTGTGTGTTGCAGCAACACTGAAGACTACATCATTTTACTTTCTAACAGAAGGAAAACATCCCCTGCAACCATTTACCTGAAATAATGATTTATTTCAAAACAAATTCTGATGCGAGAGGTTTTGTTCAACTTTGTGCACAACACTAGAAACAAGGCATCACATGTTCTCTGTTTACAAGGCATTAACCAGTCTTCAGCTAATTATGATTTTGGGTTGCTGTTTTTTTTGTTGTTCTTTTATACCTGGTTTAAATCCTAGAGTTTCTCAATCGCAAAACCAAATGGAACGATTTGAATTAGAAAAAGTTTCTTGTTCACGACATTTTAATGGAAGTGGACTACTTAAATGTCCCCTCCTGTGTTTCATCAATATATTATAGGTCTCAGATAGATACAAAACATGTCTCCGAAGTGTTTGGCTTGAAATACCAAACAGATCATGCATTGCAGCATCCCATAATCCCCTCTGTTTCAGCCTTGTTTCAAAAGTGCTGATTCTCTGTCTTTTACTTTAGATGAAAATAAGGAGCCACTCCCCTCGCCCCTCTGAGAGATATTTGGTTAAAAAGAACACAATGGTGCTCTAGGAGGAGATTCAGGTGATAAGGTGGGGGGGGGGGGGGTACCTGGTTGGTATTGGCTAATGTTACACAAGCCAAAAAAACATTATGACATCACAAAGTGGGCCAAAATCTGATCAGCTCATTTTCAGACAGGTTCTTTATAGAAATGGATCAGGACCAAAAAGAGAGAGAATCTTTGTTCCTGAAACTTCAGAGTCTCTTTACACAGAGGGGACACATGTTGATGTAGAAGAGACATGAAAAAGTGGATTTTGCATTATAGGTGACCTTTAAGTGTCCCCCACACTTGTCTTCTTAACACTTTAGTTCAGACTGTTTTTACAGTTCTACAACCTGTCCTATCTCCTGTTCAATCATGATTATTTTTCAACTTCTCATCCTTCAGCGCGGAACAGCAGGATAACTTTCGTTACTGGAACCAGTTCCGTCAGGCTCGAGCACAGGAGACACCGGGAGAGGAGTGGCAGAAGAGGAGGAGGAAGAACTTCCAGCTGGTGGGATACTGCTTACTCACCATGCTGTTCGGCATTGGAGTCCACGTGATCTTCTTCAGGTACACAACCAGCACATGATAGAGACACTTTACAAATATCAATGTAAGCAAGATTTAAATGATGTGACATTGGACCTAATTCACCAACTGTTCCTCAGAAAATAATTATTCGTTTTCTAATGTTTTTTGTTTTCTAATGTATGATAAGAACTGAATCTAAGCACACTAAAAAGCCTTGTTTCACACATTTGGTCACTGACATGTTTGTAAAAAAAATATTTGTTATTGCATTTTCTTCAATTGTACAGTTTCTAAATTACATTAATATTTGTATCATTTATTTACAACATTAATTGTTATTTTTACTGTATTATGGTATTTTAAAATAATAAAACACAACACTTCAATACTTGACAAGTAATAGGATCCCATGCATCATTTTTAGTTGTGTTTGTTTTATTTTATATCCACTCCTGCCACTGCGTAATATAACAGCTGATTTGGCGTTAAATAGAGGGTTTTTTAAAGTTTGTAATCCGGTGCTTCGCCCACTTTACACCTTTGTTCGGGCATTCTTGACTTAATTCTCTCAGCCCCTCTTTTCAGTGTCTGTGTGCACACGACCCTCTGGTCTCATGCCCTTTTATGGGTATTGGCGTTTACCTATGCTAACTAGGATCAACTGGCATGCGCTTTTCAATTAATGAGGACAATGGGATCCATCATCATAAGGACACAGGGACACAATTCAGAGGTGTAAGCACTTGGGAAGTAATTATTAAATGAGGCCCAATATTCAAACTAGACCCTTCACACTGCAGTCCATCTCATTTCCTGAGTTTTTCTTTGCTCCACATTCACATCCAGATGAATGGGATTGTTTGTGGACATGTGTCTGTGCCTTGTGTGTTGGAACTCATTGTATTTGTTGTACTTGTTCTCACACAATGACTGTGTCTCTTCTGCTTCTGGTGATTCACTTCTTTGTGATCTGAAGAGATGTTATAACAGCTGTACAAACTCATAAAGACAATAAAAGCGTACAAAGGGCCCGCTGAGCGAAGAGTTCTTAGGTTAAGCAAAGGTCTTCTGCAAACGCTGTCTTAAACTCAAGTGTTTCTGCGACTCCTTCAGGAAACTGGAACAAATTCACAATGCCTTCATGGACGAGAAAGATCGAGTCATCAACGACATTTACAATGAATCCAAAGAGAGGGCCAAGTGAGTGCACAAACTATACATTCAACTTGAAACACTTCTGTTTTGTTCTTGTGATGCTTTAAAGTGGAGCGGAGTGTGAACGTGTCTTCTGTGGGGTCTTTTCAGGGTCAACGGATTCAAAAAACAGACTGAAATCCTGCGACAGAGACATGCTGAGTTTCTGGAGAAATACAAACTCAGAAAAGATGGAGAGGACAAGTAGGAGAGTCTCCAGCGGTGCTCTGTGATGATGCCAGCAGGTGGTAGGCAGCGGCAGACTGGATGTGGTGCTTTTTTAAGGATTTTTAATTTTTTTCTCTGTGTTTGTCCTCAGTTGTGATGCTGAGGGCTTGAAGAGACACAGATCATGGGGTGTGATGTGGGAGAGTTTAATCTGGTCATTCAGGTGTTTTCTTTTACCCCGAGGCTGAGCTGCACATCGGACTGGAACGGCCCGTTGAACATGTTATACCTCAGTCAGTAAACAGGGGCCAGTCTGTACACAAACCTCTCTCCTGTTTGTCCAAAGGAACTTCAATGAACTGAATTAACTCTCAGGAACATGGTATTTATTATCCTTCTTATTGGTGTGTTATTGGGGCTCACAGATGACGGCGAATTATATCAGATATGAGCGGTTGCTAAGACTATAGTGGAAATCACTGAAAGGTTATCTGAATAATTTGTGTGTGAAATAGGCCTAACATGTAATGCAAATGTGTTATTTGCTGAAAGATTGTCCCATTGATTGAAATCATGAATTGTTTAGCACATGAGGACGCTCCATAATGTTCTCTTAGGTTTGATGGGACAGATCGGGGGGGTTGTTGTGAGGAGCATGAAGTGTACAAAGTCAAACAATTATGGTTTGTCAAGGAACATGGTTTAAATATGCCAAATGTCTGTTGGATCTTTATCATCACAGTCATACTCCTCATTTTTCTCTTGCCCGACCCTGTGTGTTACTGCAGAAATGCAACACCACGCATCATAAAAAGATCCTCCATTTGAAAAGGAGTCAGATCGCTATTATGACTTGAAACCAGGGAGAACAAGTCTTTTACATTTATTCAACTATTGTTGTAATGCGTCTTTAAAACGGCCACTTTTAAAAGGAAAGCAAGTCACAGGATATTTCATCATTAACCACTTCTCCTTACAGTTTTAAATATTAGAGATTGTTTTTCTGTTTTAATCTGCTTTACATACTGTATTCCCTGAAGGGATGTCAGAGGGAAATTATTAAAATACTTTTTCTCATCAATCATTACTTCCCCTTTTTGTTCCGTCTCTTATTCAAATATGCATTGGACAGCAGGCATGTATTTTCATATATTTTCTAACCAATACAAATAGGATTTCTTTTTCTTTTTAAAATTACATTTTTAAAGGTTAATCAACCATTTCAGCAATGTCCTTTTTACATTTAGACTAATTTCCAGAGACTGACAGGGTTTATTCAGACATTCAGATGTAGAGTCATCCTTTAATGAGCAACCACACAAAAGAGTTCTGCTGTTATTTTCCATTATCCCAGCGATATAGATTTGAACTGAAAACTCTAATATGAAATGTGGAGCTGCAGTTGTGACTAACTGAAAGCTGAAATAACATATACAGCAGCACACAGCATGGCTATTTGCATATTTATATTCACTAAATGTCATTTTGGTTATAAGAACTTTGTACACAACATTTGTTGGCTGGGGACATTATGGAAAAGGAGCTTGGTTTCTAGTTGTTTTTAAGAATACTTGCAGACGTAAGGAATTCCAGAAATATTTTATTTATATATACAAAATTGTGTTTTGAGAAGAGATGTTTCTTTTTTCCTCCTCGCTGTTCTTGTCACCGGCGGCCCCTGCCCTGAGACTTCAGCTGGAGATAACAAACTTCTGCACACAGACACCCTCACGCTCATGTGCCGTGTGAGTGCCCTGTCATAACCCAAACACACTTTAATGAGATTCTGGTGTCTGCATGCCTACACACACACACACACACACACACACACACTGCAGAGAAATGACAACCATAAATGTTATGCAGTTTTATTTTACATTTATCTTTAGTTTAAAGAAACAGTCGTTCCCAAAATGAAAATACTTACCTTTCCTTTTTTATTGTCGCACTTTTCTATCAATTCAGATTATATTGGTGTGACTTGGAGATTGTTGAGATATCAGTCAGAGAGATCTCTGCCTTCTCTCTGATCAAATGGAACTATATCGTACTCTGCTTGTGCAGCTCAAAGGGACACAAACTGAAAAGCAATTCTGGCTACACAATGATTTAAATTATTTTAATAATAATACAATACCCCTTCCAAAAAAGCCTTTAGGAGACGATTTGATATTAGTAAATAATAAAGATATTTGAGTATTTTTCTTAAAAGAACAACTATCATACAGCATGGGTTTATGGGCATGGTATTTTGAAGATGCTGCTATCAATCAATTTTTATGGAAATACCAATAACACATCTTTAAAAAATGTTTGTTCCTATATTGTCTTCCTGAACTACACAACGTGCAATTGCAAAATTGCAAACCCAGGGACAAATAAATAGATTTATTGAATTAATAATCATAACTTTAGGAATCAATAGGCCCTTGCAAAAATGCCAGCTAAAACCCCTAATGTTCAGGAATATTAGTGAGTAAATGACCTCGGTGGCAGCTACATCCCTGTCCCCCACTTGCAGGGGGCCCCTGGAGGCCCCCGGACCCCCCCACTCCGGGACCAATAGAGACGCTGCACCTGTATCCAGTGCGCCTGTCCTGTTTGGGAAAAGTTGGCAGTGCAATGGTTACGCTGCGTGCGTCTCAAGGGCAAAGGAAATGAGGAAACCGATCACAACAAGTAATGAAGACTCAGACCTCTCTCTGTGTCTGTGGGCTACCCTGCTGCTCCTGTGTTAGCTGCGCTGCCATGTCAGTGGAGGTTGTCATTCCTGTCATATTTATAAGAGGATAAAAAAACCGGCAAGATGCGCCTGGAGGGGAAACGTCACATTTTCAGAGGGAGCGACAGTGTGGAGAGACTGTGACCGAGCCGGGGAGCGGAATCTGCGGCACTGTCCAGCTCTGCACGGCGGGATAAAGCGTCGGATCTTTACCGGATAAGCGTCCTATAGCTGGATGATGCGTTTTTTTCAGCCACACTCAGGATTCTATGATAGCTCCACGTTTCAGCGGGAATCTGGATGATCCTCTGGTCACGCCACCCGGACCCCCACACCGGCTTTATGGGCTCAGCACCAATAGACTGACCTGGAATAAATAAAAGAAGCATCAATCAAAGTTTGAATAAGTCTCATTTGGGGGGAAATGAAGATTTAAAGGTTATGGTGCCACGATTTGATAGGGTTATTTAATAATTAGGCTACTTAAAAGTCATAGCTTTTCTGTCTGTATTTTTAAAATAAGTGGAGGGAGGGGCAGGCCTACTCCCCTCGTGTTTTACTCATTTAAATAGTATAACAAACTATACTTAAGGAACTGACCTTAGGGGAAATCAAGACGATCATTCAGTTTCAAATGAAACAAGATAAAGTTATTATTTAACATCTGAGGATGCCACCCTTGGTGTCCTTTCAAGGAAGGGAGCCTGGAGAATGAAAGCGGGATTTCTGGGTCTTTAATCGGACAAGCGACCTTCTGTTTTGTTTTTTTTGGATCGGTCCAAAAAATATTTTTGAGTGCCCCTTTGGACTCCTGCACAATGGGGATTATGCTTCAAGTTATTCTAGGAATGTTTCAATTCCTGCTTCTCACCAGAATACCGACGTCCCATGCCAAGGTATGTATCGGCTATATTTGACCCTAAAAGACTTCATGTCTGAGGGTGTCAGCCTGACATCTGTAGTTGATTTCCAGTGTGTGTTGATGTCACTTAATGCACATAAAGTATCCATTTGGTCTGGTGGAAAAAATGTGTAGTTTTAGCTTTTTGAAGTTATCCTCTAGGTCAATGACACCTGTCACGTATGGTCCAGTGACAGCACCATTCACTATAATAATCATGAAGAAGTCTATAAACTTTATAGTGGCATTGTGGTATTTATTGTCTCCTCTATCATATTTCAAAGCCAACTTCTATTGAGACACCCTAACAAAGAGTTTATACGTTGTAATACATAATTTACTGAAGCTTTAGATCAGTGATTCATCATTCAGAATAACGTTTGGGCTGCCAGGTTATGGAAAATTGTGCTTTTTTTTGCTAGCATCAGGAAGGCAGGGCATTTGGACAGGATTACATTTACTACCCCTTCAATGGGGAATCTCACACATTTTGGGAAATTAATCGATTTTCAATTGTTTTACATTACACCCACTTGACTGTTATTACCCCCATATTACTCATTGATTAAATCCTAATACAGCCCTGTTACAACGTTATTACACCCATATTATACCCCTGTTACACCCATGTTAAGCTGTTATTACCCCTTTACTACACTGTTGTTAGACCCATAATACACCCATGTAACACCAATATTACACCGTAATTACAACATTGTTACACCCATATTTCATATTTATACACCCCTGTTACACCATTATTACACCCATATTATACCCATGTTACACTGTTATAACACCTATATTACACTATTATTAGACCCATATTACACTTATGTCACACCCATGTGACACCCCTATTACACTGTTACTACACTGCTATTAGTCCCATATTACACCCCTATTGCACTATTATTAAACACATATTACACATGGACACAGCTTGTCAATTGACTGTATCCCCCCTACGATACATACACCATTTAAGGGTTAAGAGTTAGTATGTTTTGAATGTCATTTAATTGATAAGTAAGTTGTCAAAGTAATATTTCAACTTAATACACTTTTTAATTATATACTTTCCTGCTACCACTGGTTGCCTAGCAACTGGTCACTGGTCAGACTCTGAAATAGCCCCAAACAATTATATACAATGTGTTGTGAATGAGCTGCAGAGGTGCTACAAGGTGGATTTAAAAAAAGATTTGTACCAGTGAGTCTAGCTGTTTCCAGTATTTATGCTAACTTCGCTATACTTTGCTGCAAGCTATCGCTTTATGTACTTCTGACATTACTGAACACACATGAAAGTGGTTTGGATCTTATTTTCCAAATCTAGAAAATCGAAAAATGTTACTTCCTGAAATGTTAAACTTTTCCTATTTGTTAGTCAGAGTAATCACTGGAATCGTTCGCGAACGTAACATCACTATTGCCTTATACAATACTTAAAAGATTCCTCCAAAATATAATTTGTTTGTAATTCATTTGGAAAATTGACTTGATTAATTCATGGACTTGGCTAATGATCTAACTCTTAAGCCATGTACTACATTTTATAAAACATTTTTTTTAAAAGGCGCTTCATTGACAATTCTTTATCTCTTTATTTTATTCCTGCTTAGTATTTACCATTGATAATACTGAGATGGTCCACACACAGCAAAAGGCACACACACATGGAGAGACCTACGTACATGTGCAGGTTCTTTATTTATGTCTGGAGGCTGGTATCAGGAACAGGCAGTGCTCGGCAGGGGTGTGGGATCCAGCCCTGAATTGTTTTGCTGTATGTTTTAGTGATACATCATCATAGACGCTACATAATACACAGCAGCGTGACTCCTCACCTGCTCACAGCTTCTGTCGCTCACTCAAGTCTCTATGCTTTCATGATGTCTGCTTTTCTGACACATTATTTGGAAAAGAGGTCATCTCTTTTCTCCTGTAGTGATGAAGCTTAGTGTGGGGCTGGCACATGGTGTGTATTGTAGGAAATGCACACACACATACACACTTGGCTCATCCTTACAGTGTGCTCTGGGAGAGGCTTTAGGACTTGTTAGACAAAAGACAGACAGCAAAACCAGTGTAGATGGCACTGGGCTGGCACTCAGGAGTGTGTGTGTGTGTGTGTGTGTGTGTGTGTGTGTGTGTGTGTGTGTGTGTGTGTGTGTGTGTGTGTGTGTGTGTGTGTGTGTGTGTGTGTGTGTGTGTGTGTGTGTGTGTGTGTGTGTGTGTATATGTGTGTGTGTAAAACGGAGAAAAAAGTAAAGCCGCTTTTCAATACATGGACTATTCTTAAATCTTTGCTGTTATTTGCAAAATGTGGACCTTAACCGTTATATAATGAAACTGTTTATGTAAAGGGTCACAAGCCAATCAAGTTGGAAACCACTGGTTTAATATTAAACTATACCACTCAACAGTTTGTTTAAAAATCACACGGAAAAGGAACTACTTACACTTTTCATCCCATTATAGAGAAATTACTGAAAATAAGAGAAATAGCTTTTTCTTGAAGTAATATTCAAGTACCTCAAAATTGTACTTAGAAGGTTCCCTGATGATACTTAAACTGTATTTGAGTGTAAACTGCATGGGGGCAACATAAAAGTCCAATAAAGAAATGAATAATATATTGGATTCCTAATACTGACAGAAAACATAATCTGTGCTACAAAAGCTGCTGTCAGCGTTCTCCCTTTATCTCATTTTATAAAATAGTAATGGGCTCGTCCACTCCCAGCCACAAACTGACTGTAACAGTTCATTGTTGAGAAATCCAGTGGCAGATACTCTCGCTGTCTACCACTGCGGGGCTACTGTAAAGTCTTTCATTCTCCATTATCAGGAGATAGACTACTTGAGGGCAAAGGTAGCTGGTACAACTTGTTCAAATCCAGCAGCTCCCACCCTCTGACACTCATGTTGTCAGAAATATGTTTGGATTTTTGTCCCATATATTTGTTCAGTTACCTGCTAAAATAGACCAATGGAACCCAATGGACCCCATCCCTTTAGAAATGGTAAAACATTTGGAATGTTCATTTAGTAGTCATACTACTGTGGAACTGCTGTTACCCTCCTACATGTTATCCTGCGTATCAAAGTTCAGAGTTTAAAATTCCTGTCAGGTACCACCATGCATTATTGAGCGTGTAATATTCAGGTGGCAGCTGTGAAACTTTGTGGTGTTCATTAACAGGAAACGCTTTGATCTGGTGATATGCACCCACAGGCTTTCACAACAATGGCAAACAGGACATTGCCGACAAAAGCTTAAAAGTAAATGTACTGTTATATGATGGTTGAAGGGGCCCAAAATGATAATTTTATTTGATTTCATATTTGTATTTTGTTCCTCTACCGTGACATTTTCCCATGCTTTAATGTTCAAAAAGCAATTTTTCTCATACTATCTTTGCTGTAACACCCCTTTTTACCCTCTGTCTGAAACCAGAGCCCAGTCTGCTCTGATTGGTTAGCTGGCCATCTCTGTTATTATGACTGGTCAACAGCTTAGAGATATCCCACCCCACGTATTGTGTTGGATCGCCAATAGTAGCACCATTGTAACATAGAGATGTCACTTTGTTATGGAAATAAATAAAGAAGTCCAATGGAGGCATTTCAGGCAGAGTAAACTCCCTCTGGAGGGAACTTTGCGATTTTAGCCTTTGCAGAACATTTACATGCACAAAAACCTTTATAACATTCTACAGGAGAGAGAAAGCCCCCCAAACCATAATAGGGCCCCTTTAATTCAGAAAACAAATCTTTAATATTCATCAATGCAGATATATTTTATTAAATCCACTATACGGAGCCCTTAAGGGGACATGGTGGGGGGAATAGGGATTGGACAGAGGGCAGCTGTAGCAACTTAAATTCAGCCAATGCATACCCTCACAGTGCTGGGTCTAACCTATAACTGCAGCAATAGAAAATGTGTTGGCAAGTTATTTCTTGTCCTATATGTATGGTCTGATTCATCAAATTCAGTGCTCAAACGTTTGTGCAAGTTCTTTTGGGATATGGAAAAAGTTTTCAGAGACAATGCAAGTATTTATCTTTTTTTTAAGACATCTATTTTGCCCCCTATTTCTATATGTTAGAGGCTCTTTCTGGATGTCCTACAAAAATACAAATTGACTCACCTTTGACTGAATACTAGACATATTTTTTCAAAAGATTTTGCTGAACTGGAATTACACCACTAGTCATGACTCCAAAGTGCAAGGCTGAATGCTATCTATCAGGTCAACTCGACCGGGAAACCTTAAACTAAACTTGATTAAACATTACATTTATTTCTCCCTCCAGCTCGCTCACTGGCGGCCTGCAGACTCCCCAAAATCCAGGGAAGGTCGAGAAGGTATGCTCCAGGTTTCATAAATAACCCTGAATTACCTCTTGGAGCTGAGAGAGAAATAAATAATGGATGTATTGATTTATCTCCACCAGTGCGCCGGTGGTTGGAGGTTTATTCGCGGAGTGGCTGTGAGCCTCGAGACACCCTGGTGGAGGTTTGGCGGGAGTTACCGGGGGAGACGCACCATCTCTTCGTCCCATCCTGTGTATCGGTGAGGCGTTGTGGTGGGTGCTGTTCTGACGAGGCCCTGGAGTGTGTTCCCTCCCTCACACACACAATCACCATGGAGGTATACACACACACACACTCATACTAAATCCTTGCCTGCTCCTGTGTAGATTAATAATGTTTCGAGCCAGGGGGGTCAAACTCATTTTAGTTCAGGGGCCACATACAGCCAGATTTGATTTGATTCTACATTCATTTCCACATCTGTGTAGTAATTCTGACCACCTGAACTGACACACCACCATACAAAATAAAATTAAGGTAATGATATCTCTCTGCCTTGTAAATGTATAAAATGTATACTTACAAAATATATACAAGTTGCGACAATTGTAGTTAATATCTTTATGCGGTGAGATGATGTTTTAATATCTTCTGATCTGTGTGCAGCTGATGAGAACCTCCTTTATGAAACATGAGCTTGTCGAGCTGCCGTTCGTAGAGCACAGTCAGTGTGAGTGCAGGTAATAAAACATACTCACAGATGCATGGTATACCTGTCCTTTGTTGACTTCACTACACCTTAATACTCACATTGTCTCTTTTATCTACATGCAGATTAAAAGTACAAGTCCAGCCAACACCTACTACAAGGTAACACCTTTTTCCTTCTTAGTTTAATATCTCCTTGTCTGTTCCTGTTTAATTGTGAGTGGGTGAGCTTATTCTGAAATGTGATGTTCCTTCATCATCGCTAATGACTTTATAAAACCCATGTCCGCTAATGATGCTCTTATTATTCCGCTGATGATCTTTGATGAGGAGGAGGTATAGGAGGGTTTCAGTGAAAAACTGTTCTGATTAATCTCAATTGAATCGCTAAATGGCGTTAGTGTTAAACAAGGTAACATAAGGCTTCAATCTCTAGTTTTAAACATTTTGTTATTCCTCCAAAAAAAGGTCCAACATCCGAGGCTAATACAGATAACATAAAACATAAAACTGACCTGGTTTAATTCAGATTAAAGATTGTGAAGAATCATGATCTGATTCAAATCACATTTTCAAAATGCTTAATGGGTAGTTTGTACAGGAGTCGGTGCACTAAACTTGAGAGCAAGTTCAGACCTAGCTCGTAGAATATGAAGAGGAGCCAGTTAGCAGATGGTTTCCCATCTTAGTGACGAAGCATTTGTGAAAGGTAATACTGTTATTTTCCAGTAAAGGCTTTATAGATTGAAAAGATAACAGTGAGTAACCAACCCTATCATATAAAATACAATGATGTGCCCGAGCCCTGGTATAATCTCACGGCAAAGAGATAAGCAAGTATGACGTGTCTGCAGGCTGATTTGAAAGAATCAGGTTTGTTGTCAGTGGACTAAAACACGGTTGAAAACTGTAATTATTCATGACTTTAGGTCAACATATACTGAAAGTAAAGAATCTGCTGCTCAGGCGGTACACACCGTGCTGTTCAGGTTGTGTTGAGGTCTGCGACGGACAGCTTGAGACAGTGAAAGGAACATTTCTGTTGGATCCCTGATGTTTGTTTGTGTACCTCATACTGGCAGGTCCAACCTCACAATCATATGATTGCATCTTTAATGTTTATGTCTTCCTACTTCCTGTTAGGATGCGGACATAAATAAAGGATTCCAATGTATGTGTGTGTATGTGTGCATATGCATTTTTCTTTGGTCTGTTCAGGTTTCCTGTGTCTCTTTTTTGTTTGCCATATCTACGCATGTAGATTCTCCATGTGTTGGTATTAATGTGCATGAACATTTTTATTTTGTTTTTGGAAGAACATTTAAATCTGTGTGTTTATGTGTATGTGTGTGTGTGTGTGTGTGTGTGTGTGTGTGTGTGTGTGTGTGTGTGTGTGTGTGTGTGTGTGTGTGTGTTCGGTGTGCTCCTCGGTGAGTTAGCATCTGTGTGACTCTCTCCCTGCATCCCCTGGGACGGCCCGCATCCTGTTGTCACCATAGTGATGATTTTATCTCCCCTGCCATGTGCTCTCTCTCAGACTGACGGAGCAGAGTCACGCATCCATGATATTATATTAGAGCCTAAAGACAACAGCACCAGCAGCACACTCAGTTTATCCTGCCAGAGCAGAGCTGGTAAACACATCATTTGATTAATATAGTTTATAGCAGAGTGGATTAAAGAGACAGGGAACTTAAAACAAAACTAAGTGCAGATTCATTTTTCTATTGAAGGCACCAGCATGCAACAGATTTGGATATGGTCAGAGCTAAGACATAGCCAAAACACCTACATCTACCAGGGCTGCAACTAACAATTGTTTTTAATAATCAATCAATCTCCTGATTATTTTATAGATTAATCAAATAATAGTTTTATTTACAAAATGTCAGAAAAAAACGTACAAAAAGTCATACAAGTGCGAGGTTTTGTTTTTAAATGTCTTGTTTTATCAGTCATAAACTCATATATATTGACTTATATGATATAAAACACAGAATGAGAGTAAACCTCTTCGCCTCCAATAGGTGTCTGAAAATATAACTCCTAAACATTTAATGTATTTGTTTTGTTTGTCTGATGTACCCAGGCCTCGCCTGAAGCCGACAAGAACAGACAAGAAAAGGGAGAGAGGAAAGTCCAGACAGAAGACCAGTGGAGCCATCAGAGCCGTGTAAGTTCAATATTCAGTTGCTTTAATCAGGAACGAGCCCTAAACTGATGTGTGTTACCCCTGTTAGTCAGTATTTTCTTGATACTGCCAGTTGCCTTGTGAATGTTTGGATTAGAACAGAAAATATGTTATCTGGTCAACATAATTACTGAAGGACAATTTGTTTAACAGCCACAGCAGTCAAGGTCCCCCACACACACGCACACACAAACACACACACAAACACACCTACAAAGCTACACAGACACCTACAGCCCTGGGACTTGGGGGTGTTAAACAAAACATGGTATATATTATGGTGATCAGTTGTGTTATATATTAAATAATGCATGACTCTGGCTGCTAAAATGGTCCGTTATGATCATTCAAGGACAATTAAAACATTTTGTAATAATTACATTAAACTGTTACATTGTGATCAGAGAGGAACAGGTGAGTTTGGTTGTGTCCCCCAGGATTCCCATGATTCAATCTCAAGCAGTAAGGGAATAGAGTTTGCTCTTTTTAATATGCTTCCCGTTCACTTTGCTGTCTATCATTTCCGGCCTCCGGGGTGCAAGAGGTGACTCGGTTTGGGTGTGATGTCCCTCAGCTCCCATCCATCACTCAGAACAGGCTTTATTCAGACTCTGGCAGGGGTGAAATCTGTGTAATTTGCTCCCAAATGCCACCTCCTCTGTCCATGCCAGCGGCAGGCGTGGTCATCGGGGTCTGAACAAAGATGGCCCCTCTCTGCCTCATTAAGTAACTTCATTAAAGCCTCCAGCCTCCTGAGGCAGAACCAGCTCCAGTTAATGGACCAACTGACGCAGGCAACTTTCTCATACTCAGTGAGTGCAGAGCGTATAGAGGGGAAACTGAAGTGACTATAGCCATGGAAACGTACAGAAACACAGACTGACAGAGAGAGCAGAAAGTTTGCCGCAAAGGAAACAGTATCCCACATTAGTCACACATCTCCCACACACACTACATTGTTTATTTCAGTCTGGCACAGAGTGTTAAAATAAGCCTTGCATTTCCTTTTTAGCCATAATATCGACGTGGTGTGGGATCAATAGCAAAACAGGAAAAAAGATCCTGTGTTGATATGTCAGTCCGTCAGTGGAGGGATTGTCAGACATTCATGGTTCCCCCAGATAAAGACTTCAGACTTGGATGATGGACTGAATTTTAAATGGACTGCATTTTATTTAGCGGCTTTCTAGTTTACCGACCAATCAAAGCGCTTCACAACACATGCCAACTTTTACCCCTTTCACACACTCATTCACACATTGATGGCAGAGGCTGCCATGCTAGGTGCCAACCTGCTCATCAGGAGCAGTTAGAGGTCACTGTCTTGCTCAAGGACACCAGCAACAAACCAGTGACTCTTTGGACAATAGACAACACTCTGCCTCCTGAGCCAGGCCGTCCCCTGTCATTTCCTGTGGTGCCACCACATGGTACACATTTGCGGTCTTAATATTACAAATAATTATTGGATAAATTCTCTTCAAATCTGACTTTCATGCCCCCTTATAGATTCATTTAAAACCCCTTAAATTAACTATTGTTTAAGTAGAAAAAGCTTTTCTGGCAATCAGCTAGACCAGAAATAAGCCTCACCTCGTCAGTTGCCGGCCACATTTTGGGATTAAATACTGACAGCCATATAAAGGTTTGGTTAATGTTTGCACGATGCATCTGCAGACAAATTACACACCAGATAGATGTCTTACGATCCCCTAAAGTTAGGCACGACATGAGGTAAATACCTGCATGGCGGTATATACTTGTGAATCAATAAATGAAGAAATTATTCTGAACTACACTGTTCTTAAACCTCTCTTTTCTCTGTCCAGGTCCCATGCTCCTCCAACTCTTCCTCCCCCATCTTCTCCTCCTCCTCCATCCCCTCCTCCCATCAGCTTCTCTCCCTCTCCCTCACCTTCTCCAAGGCCTAGTTGCCGCCCCTGCAGAGGGAGGAAGTGGGCGCTTGATGTGACGTCCTGTCAGTGCCGCTGCACCATCAGAGCTGAGAGCTGCACCCGGAAAAACCGGAGCCTCAACACTCGTCGCTGCAGGTCAGTCCACAAGCAAACTTTTTCTTTTTATGGATTTTTCTTTTCAACAACATGAAACTTTAACAAACGCTCCAAAAAAATAATTCTTAGGTGTAAATTCTGCTAGTTGGAAAGTTGATCCGTTGCTTTTTGTTTAATGGAGTGAGAAACTTTGTTAGGAGTAGCTGTATCTCAAGTGGTGTGATGACCCATGTCAAGATGTCATTGAACATGACACTGAACCCCAAATTGCTCCCAAAGTGGGCATGTTTGATAGAATAGACTTCATGCTTCTTCTCTTATTGTTTGTTGTTGCAGGTGTGATGCCATGAGGACTTGACGTGTCCTATCACTGTCTTTTCACCTCCTTCTTTACACCAACCCTTGTTGATTCATTCCCCACTCTCCGCATCAGTGCCATGGAGCATACAGACGCTTGGACATCAAATAACCTTGGGCTGAAGGAAATATTAGTGGGAGCACACACAAAAACCTGATGTAGCACTCTTAGTTAACCAACAAGTGCAGCATAACGACCTGAATTTTAGATCTAGTGTGTGTGTGTGTGTGTGTGTGTGTGTGTGTGTGTGTGTGTGTGTGTGTGTGTGTGTGTGTGTGTGTGTGTGTGTGTGTGTGTGTGTGTGTGTGCAGCCAAAAATCTCACCACCTCTCACCTGCTTCTGTGGCAAAGCTTCTCTCAGTCCACATGCGTGTGCAGACATGTAAAGTCACCATACACATCCCATGACTTGAGGGATGAGTGGCAGCCTAATGGCGTGGATTTCATACAAATTCTTTCTTGGTGGAAACAATCACACAAGCTACTCATATGCTGTGGTTTGGATTTCCTTTACGACCTCCAATGGAACATATACATTTAAGAGAGCAGGGAAAAACACGACTGATGGAAAGAAAAAAATGGATGTGAAGTGGACGAGTCTTACACAGGTGTCCTACATGTTGAGGTGTTTGCAGTAAAACTGCAAATGGAAATGGATTCCAGGGTGAAGTCAGGCCGTTTTTTGTGCAGAGGATTTGACAGAAAGGCAACTAATTTTAGATGGACACGTCCACACATACCAAAGGGACACAGGACATACGCATGAACTGGCGCCCCAGTGTGCACGGACCCATAGTTGAGCTGAATGCTGGCATGGAGAGTGTCTGTGTGGTCTCTCCACTGAAAGACCCAGATGGGATATCCCTGCAGCCGTTCTCTCTCATTCAAAGCGTATGACCACGGGCTGGCTCTCCAAGCTGCTTTCCGGCATTTGTTTAATTTGGGCCCTTTGTCTCCATCTTCCCTCGGCTCCTCTGTTGAAAGCAGCCGCTTTGCCTCTCTTTGCCTCTCTTTTAGGCAGTGAGGAGAATGACAATAATGAGGCCTGGCGGCTGTCCACTGCTTCACACTGACATTCACACTTATAATACCAGGAACATAGACAACACTGCAAATGCAGACACACACAACCTGACTCTCTTTGTGCTATAGCAGGCACACATTCATATTTACAAACATGCTATGTGGATTGACCATTTAAGCATAAGCATTTGTGTGCAAAAATAGTTGTTTGTATGTCTTCATTTAATATTGTATTATTTGCCTCATGTTTTATATTTTATTATAATTCTGTCAAGTTGATTGAAAAGATATTCTATATTGCAGAATGTGTGTCTTTGTTTTGTTTGTTCATCTTTAATCCGTCTGGATAAAGAGTCACGCTGGGTGGCCAGCTATGTATACATTCAGCATTTAAACCGATACCCAAATGTATTGAATTTAAACAGACAGGGCTCACAAGGGCAACAAATGGAAGACTATATACATTATAATGTGTAATTCAAACAATCGGCGGGGCAGTTTTACCCACAGTGCCACACAGAAACCAACAAATAACCGTTCCCAGTGCAGTGAAAGCAAAACATGGCTGTTTTTGTTGCAACAGAGAGGATGTAAATAGTATTATTCATTTGGAACATAACTTGTTTATATTCTGAGCGAATCTCACGGTTTAACTCCATGTTAGTTCATGACTGCTTGGCCGCTGGGTGGGAGCGGGGATTTGAACTGTGACTGTTTCAGAAAGGACGAGGTCTTGAGCAGCTTGTCAGTCAGTGTGAGGTGCTAAAGCAAGAGCTCAGAGAACCCATTATAGCGGGTCACTGAGTTTAAACCCATTTTTGACACTGATTCAGACCTTTTGTCCTGTGCTAAATCTTTCCTGAGAATATTTTACCAGTGACGTCTTATTTCCAGGACAAACAGTAGCTCTGACACTACATAATTCATGCCGTCCTCCCCCCCTGGGATTCATAAAATCCTGCTGTTGAGACAGTCCAGAGTCTGAATTATTTGTGTGTCAGCCAGCTAGAGAACTTTGTGTCAGTTGCCGGTGTGATAAGCTCTGTATTTATACTCTCCTGAAATTAGAGTCCATTGTTCAGTGTTTGTTATTACTGTCAATCAATGCTTCAATCACTACCTCTATATCACAACATATTAATGACCAAGTATTAGAGCATTGTTGTTACTTTATCTGTGTTATTTCAGACCTCTTTTTATAATTTGTATTTACATTTAGCATAAGCATAGTCTCCAGTGTAGAGATGTGGAGCTGCAGCAGATCTGTAGTGATAATCACTGATTTAGAGGAACCTATAGGAGTTTTCTGTGTGCGTTTTAATAAACTGAAGGGAAACATTTTTCACATGTGGAGAACTGAACAAGTACAGACCAGACACTGTGTGAAACGTGGAACAGAGGACGGTTTCCCAAAGAGTTTGTAGGTTCAAACTATATGATATTTTGAAGTCTTGGCTTCAAAAGAGAAGTTTGACATTTTAGGTAATGAAGCAATTTAGCTTCTTGCAGAGTGTTATGACAAGATTAATACCACTCTCACATGTGTGTACAGAAAATATGAAGCTGGAGACATTAGTTAGCTTAGCTTAGCACAACGACTGGGAACAAAGGGAAACAGCAAGCCTGGCTCTCCCTGGAAGGAACAGATAAAGTCCATGTAGCAGCAGCAGCAGCTCTAAAATATAAGTTAACACCTTAGTCGCTTTTGTTTATTCTGTAAAGTGTGAAAACAACACGTTGCTGTTTTAGCAAGCAACATATTAATAAATTAACTTTAGAGACAGATGTTGCGACTGTTAGACAGAGCCAGGCTAGCTGTTTACCCTAGAGAGATTGCTTTCAACCTTCTCATCTTACTCTCAGCAAGAAAGCAAACAAACATGTTTCACAAATGTTTAAATTATGAATAAGTAATTAATGCATTTGTTTTTATATGACTAATTATTCGATAACATTGTATTTAGTGAACTAATGTTTTGGGAAACCTAAGAGTCTCAGTACAGATTGCACTTGTGTTTAAGATTGTGGAGAACATACTGTACAATAGTCCGTTGGGAAAAAAACTGAAGGAGCAAGTAGACTCCACTAATGTTGACGTGTACGACATATCAGAGACATTAGGGCGAAAAAAGGGGCTGAGATCCCTTTTTGAGGGCCACTGTTCTTATTTCTTTAGACCAAATGTTCTTTATTCAAATGAAAACATTCTTTACAATTAAAGCTGCAAACCCATCAGACAGCATGAAGTTGCTTCCCATCATTTCAACACAACTGTTTAAGATATACAGCTTGGTGGATATATTAATACAACCGAAACATCAGTGTGCACAGTCAACATTACTCTGTAGCGGTAGCTCTGTTCTAGCCTCCAGTGTCTTAGCCTATAGAGACCCCTTACTAAACTATATAACATTTCATAATCTCTAATATGCCGTAGTATGTAGTGCACACTCTAGAGATGTATTTGTAACATTGTTTAAGCTATACTTAAAGAATCTCTTCTCTGCGAATACATTGTACTAATGTAGCCTATGTATAAAGAAAACACTCTTTTTTTGCTGCTACACCATTTGTGCCCTTTTATGATGTCTTTGTAGAAAAAGTGTTATGTTGGATTAGTATATAAATGCCAATTAATCGATTCAATGTCCACATAAAAGTGTATACTGCATCGTCAAATATATTGAAAATGATACCAGGATAAAACCGTGATGTTACAGATGTTAATAAAGGAAATGTCTTATTTTTCGTATAAACTTCTGGTTTTCTTCCTGTCACTGTTTATCCACTCTGGCCTCATGCACGCTCTGACCTCGACTCCCCCCTCTCTTTGTTTTAATCTCTCATTGGATGGTAATGAAAGGCAAACAGTCTCTTTTGATTACAGTGACACCCTGGGAGTTGGGTACAGAGAAAGTGTGTGTGATGTGACGTGGCCGTGTTGTGAAACATAATATTGTTCCCACACTCCTCTCGTTGGTACTGCTGAGTCAGAAGCTGGTCGAGTACAAAGGTGGGCAGCCCCACATGAGTGGAGGAAACTGACATATGCATTTACTCAAGTGCAGTTATTAAGGCCTTAACTTTACATTCTACTGTGGACAAGGCACAGATAAAACGTTCATTTGAGGGTTATAGTTAGTATTTACTTTGCAAATAAAGATTTTACAGACAAATAAAATGACCAGTTCCACTTTAATTGGACTTCCACTTGCAGCCAGGTGAAACATAGGCATACCCATAGATAACACATAATAAATTACACAAAATATAAGCAACATTTGTAAAACAAATGCTCAAACCCAACCCAACAGTAAAGAAAACTGGAGTACACCCAGCCATTATCCTCACTCACAAAATACATAATGTGTTTTTTATGATAAACACTTTATTTACAAGAATTGTTAAGTGTACACAATATAACAATATATAATTACATAAAAAAAAGAGATGTATAATGTCAACATAGGGGGTTCAGTGCATAGCATTGTGAAGCACATTGAATGTGTTGTGGTATTCTTCCACTATTTCTCAGCTGTTGGCAGGGATTATGATGAATATGACGATGACATAACGATGATGAAAGCTGCTTGTAATGTAATGTCCAGCCCTCATTTGTTCCCTTACCGTCATCTCACATTTCCAGTTAGACTTTACACCAAAGGAAGGGCAATAAGTTAATGACTATTTCTATATCACTGGCTCTAAACATTGATAAGCTGGCATGGCAGTATTATTGTATAACGATGATTGATGACATGTATATTAGCAGCAGTTTAATGTAGCTGTTGGTACAGAGTGTTAAGAGAAAAGGAGAGGAGAGGAAAGAGAAGCTAAATGACGCTGCCAACCTATCTGTCTGGAGGGGCCTAATGCCAGCCCAGTACTAAATATAGCTGCAAGATTAGGGAGACAGAGAGAGAGAGAGAGAAATGGACACATCGAGGCACCCATCACGATACAGAGAAGATGCCTAAAGCTCTGAGCTCAGACATGTCACCTTGACTATTTCTTTGTGTGTTCTTATGCTATTCATGCATTCATTTGACTTCATGCATGTTCAATTCAACAACTAGTTCACATGTCTGCCTCCCTTCATCCCTCTGCACCTCTCAGCCTCTGCACTTGTGTCAGAACTTCCTGTATTTTTCCACCTTGCTCTCTCTGCGTTCAGAGTCGTGTTTTTCTAATAACTCCAGGCACGGTGTCCTCCCTGCTTTTGTAGCAGCAGCTGTGTTGAAGCAGGTACTGGACGCTATCTGGCCTGCAAGTGTGTTTTGTTAGAGCCCCTGTGTGTGTCAGAGAGAGGGAGAGAGAGAGAGACAGAGATAAAACGTTGACAGAGACTGAGTAGAGAATGTGCCATGCAGAGAAGGATCATGTGTGTTTCTGTTGAACTCACAGGAAAGTGAGTGTTTTTTAACTTCTCTCTTGTGAATACAAATAACCTTTTATTTGATTATACAAAACAAACAAACAGTGTTATCTGCAACAGAAACATGCATCCTCATCGGTCTCGACCCAACTGAAGGACATCAACCTTGATAAAAGATTTACGGATCTCATATCATTAAGATCAGTATCTACAAAGTCAACAGGGTGAGTTGAGTTTGTGTGAACTCCACGAGCTATTATCAAGAAGATTGAAACCCCTGATTAAAAAAAAGATATATTAATAAATAAAACCACTTGTTCAAAAGGTTTTAGTAGTGACCAGTTCATGTTCAAGTTAAGGTTTTTTTTGCCAACGCTTGTTGTACAATTTTCCCAATATGAATTTAATAATTCTGCATCTAAGGAATGAGACAACAAATGATTTCACAATATATACTATCGGATTCAAAGCTATTCATTAAACACAAACCAGTGTCTTCTGTCCTGATGTTCAGCAAACAGATGAACACATCATGTGTGAAAACTGAAGGGGAGTGTTTCAGAGGAACAGATACGTTTAATGGATTAAAGTGAGTTATAAAGGGTGGAGGAGAGGGCAGATGAGAGGCATAGGGGCAGGGTGGAGGGCTTTTTGCGGTTGGGGTCTAGCAGGTAAGAAGGCGGGGGCATATTTGTGGTCTGGGCGTGCTGGATCCTGTCCGGCTGAGGATGCGGGTACCAGTAGGAGCGAGAAGAGATCAGAGAGCCTGCTGGATGTTATCTCTTCGTTAGTACCATAACTGCAGGTCGACTCACCCGAGGCAGCAGCCAATCCCATCTTCTGTCTGTCTGTCTGTCTGTCTGTCTGTCTGTCTGTCTGTCTGTCTGTCTGTCTGTCTGTCTGTCTGTCTGTCTGTCTGTCTGTTTGTCTATGTGTCTGTCTGTCTGTCTGTCTGTCTGTCTCTCTCTCTGTCTGTCTGTCTGTCTGTCTGTCTGTCTGTCTGTCTGTCTGTCTGTCTGTCTGTCTTTCTGTCTGTTTGTCTATGTGTCTGTCTGTCTGTCTGTCTGTCTCTCTGTCTGTCTGTCTGTCTGTCTGTCTGTCTGTCTGTCTGTCTGTCTGTCTGTCTGTCTGTCTGTCTGTCTGTCTGTGTGTGTGTGTGTGTGTGTGTGTGTGTGTGTGTGTGTGTGTGTGTGTGTGTGTGTGTGTGTGGTGTGTGTGTCTGTCTGTCTGTCTGTCAAAAGTTCAGTTTTCCTAAAGTCATCTCATTTTGCTTGCAGCATGCATCAATCTTAAGTGACCAATTGATCTTTTTGTGCGTTTTATGGTTCTATTAGTGCTCTTATATTTTCCTGTGTTAATAATTTAGGTATATCAGCTTAACTTATTGTTGTTTATTGTTCCTCTTTCCTCTGTGATTTTAATGTTAATGCCACCAATAGGCTCCAATATAGGCTCATATTTATCTTGTAGTGGAGGATGGTCAAATAAATTGGCTGAGTCTCTTGTCTTTACAATATTAGTGTTAAGAAGCTTGGTATATTGCATACAGCATAACTTCCATGTAGCCTTTCATTCATATTGCCACTTTTGTTCCCTGCCCTTTATTCAGTGCCCTATGGTTTATTTTTTATGTAGATACTTACTCAAAGGACAAGACAATACTTGACAGAGACTGTGATCAAGACTACTGAGAATGAAACTAAAACAAATACAGTTTATGAATGTACATCCTGTGGAAGACATTTTACCTGCCAGTTAACTCCGGAGATGACATAAGATGTGAACACATATATTAATAGGATCGAAGTACTTTGGTTTTACTGCACTTGAAATGCAGTAGATATGATACTGTGTTTTATCAAATCACCACACACCCTGGGTATGCGATTTTCCAACACATGAACGGATATGGAAGTTACACGAACACGTTATGAAGAGCTTTAAGATATTTTCAACAAATGTTTATTCATAATATCTTTTTCAGTTGTTGTTGATATTTTTTGGTGTAATTGTTTATTTTTCATTATCTGATGTCTACATGTAAATAAAAATCAGATGTGCTTTTTTTTTTTACTTTATTACCAAACCAATATTTATTAGAAAATATAACTTTTCCATTATAGATCAAACGCATGATCAAACGTCATGACCTGTACTGTTCACGGGGGTGTGGTGCCCTCTGGTGGTCACCTGATGCTTCTGCAGGGATTTTCCGCCTTGGTAAAGTGGACGTGGCAGTGACGTCAGTGCCGGAAACGACCCGGATCGGAACTTTAACTCCTGGGTAGATTAGTTTTCACCAGAAACATCGAGAGCCCCCGGAATATCATGTAATGTCGATTCAAGTAAGTTTGAAACGATTGATTTGGGTCTTTTACATATCATTGTATCTCACTTGGTTGGTTTAGGTCGAATTTAATCAAGGTAAAAGAGGAGAGACCGATTGTAAAGCTTGGCTAGCCTCCTGAAGCTAACGTTAGCCTGTGGTTAGCCGGTGAGGCCGTGATCAGCTGTGAGATGATTGGCCTTTACTCCCACAGAGAACCGCCACATAATCCCTGCTACGTAATGATATGTATATTTACCTCTCATGTGGTTTTATGTTCAAGCTTTAGGCACAATTGTTGTTTATTGTCCGTCTCTTAGTCGTGTTGTTTGGGGTTTCGTCGTTAGCTAACGGCACGAATAGCTTCACACAGTTAGCTAACCTCACATATTGTTTATTTATCAGTTAAATTTCAAACTGTCATCCTACAAGCTGTTTCATTCTGACACGTGTTTTTTCCCGTTACCGCAGACATGTGTGTACAAATGTGGATGAAGGATACCCCACCTTGGATGTGAGTGTGTGCGTACATCGGGAGGTCTTCTCAGTTATCCATCACACAGAGCAGAGGTGGTCTCAGGTGGTTCTGCTACAGCCGGCTGCTGCGACCCTTTCCCGGCGGCAGGATGACGTGCCGTGACCGGACCCTCGAGTTCCAGTCTGCCTGTAAATCTCTCCAGGGCAGACCGGTATGTTGGCTCAAAACACTTGACATCATAACACAATAACAACAACATCTCTTATGTAACATTATTAATTTGCCTTAAAAATGGAACACAAAATGACGAGCTTCATTTAAGTCTAGGACCCCTTACAGTATAGAGATTATACGTTGTACTCCCTCATATATTTCCCTTGGAATAATTTGACCTGGCCTATTTTACATATAGGCAAGATCACAAGATAAATCTCTGATAAATGTAGACCTTTATTTAAAGTATGTAGCACATTTTAAGACTTTAACTATTATAGGTTTCAAGGTTCATAGGTTTATTTATTGAACCATGAAACATTTAAATATAAAATATATATTTTAAGTGTATGAATCTAAAAAGTCCCACTGACCCCATTTTAATAATCACTAGGTAACAAATACATAAAAAGTTCACTCTGTGTTTCCCGGTACTTTTTTTGTTGTTGCGCAGATAGACTTTTACTTTTGGTTTTTGTTTCTTATTTTCCCCTTCTGAATTTCTCTCTGCTTCTGGTTCCACACCAGTTTGCTGCAGTCTGTTCGAATTAAGCAATTTGGGTCAGGTTAAACAGATGTTCTTGCTCCTTCAGAAACTAGGGGATTGTTGTAATCTCCAAGATAAGGGCAATCGGTTTTAAACAGTATATATTGCACGATTTGAAGCTGACACAACTTTAATTTTGTTGTGCTTGCATAATGCCTTTGGCTGATATTAGTTATCCCAGAGATACTGGTGTCAGTACATGTCTGCTTAAATAACCATTGCTGGAAAAGAATACCAAAGATACATTTGATGTTATTTAAAAACACTGTTTCAGTTCGATAGTTTTTCCACCAGACAGCACAGATATGTTTTGTTGAAATTGTCTCTCTGTGTACATTGTGTTCAGTTTTCTTTAGCAAATTATAACGGGATCTTTATCAAACGTGCGTAACCTGTTAAACAGCCGTATTGGTCAAATTGTTGTTTTCAGGTATGTTTTTAAACTCCCATGTGTCACCACTGGTATCAGCCTCAGCAGTCCAGTCTCTGATGGACTATAATCAGAGGTGACCGGTGCTCACAGTGACACCAATAAAGGTTACATTTCTTGGTTATACTAAGAGCCCACAGTCTTATTTTCAAGCTTATTAAAAAAAGTATTAAAGGGAACAGGGAAGTGTCTGACAAGGAAGTAATGACTACGATGTTTAGTAGATACACTACATTTGTTTCAATGCTTTCCCTGTTGTTTGACCAATTCATTAGTCATACATTTATTTAGATATTTTCAGCCTCTTATTTTCAATGTATCTTCTTATCTCATACTCTCTACGTTCTTCCTCTCCTGGCAGAATGGAGTCCAGCCCAGTAAACCGGCTCTCAGCGCCCTCAGGCAGCGCAGTGACTTCACAGTTATGGCCAAGTAAGTTCCTCTTAATCTGTTTTTCCACTGCTCTTAAATGTTTGCTCAGTGGACTTGTACTTTAATGTTGGTTTTGGGTGTTGCATTATTTGTATGCACACACTAGTCTCCTCCTAGTACTTATTGCATGGTACTGTAAATGTGTCTTTATTGGTTTTAAAGCATCCTTAGAAACATAACTCCTTTTATATTGTGTTTACTCTAAGTTTAATGGGAAGATTGATACGAAAATGTTTTCAATTGCATGTCTAGCCCAGCACAGACTGTTAGCAGGAGACAAAAAGCACAGAGATAAAGTGGATATCATCTTTTAGCTGTCATGAATGCAATCTAGCATATTTCACAAGGTATTGTTGTACTTATTTTACTATGTGCATGACAAAGAAAGCTTTGTGTTTGTGTGTTTCCTTGTAGGAGAATTGGAAAAGACTTGAGCAATACATTTGCCAAACTGGAAAAGCTCACCATTTGTAAGTTTTTCTTTACATTTTTTATTAGAATAATAAAAAAATAATCTAACATTCTTGTGTTTGTTTCTCAAAGTATCCAAAGTGCTGATTCTTCATGCTGTTGTTTTCATTTTCAGTGGCAAAAAGAAAATCTCTGTTTGACGACAAGGCAGTGGAGATCGAGGAGCTAACGTACATCATCAGACAAGTGAGTTGATTTGTTAGCAGCCCATGGAATGTGGTTTTGCAAACATACTGTGCATGGACTGTGAATGCAGTGGCTCTGTTTAATCCTGGGATATCTTGTAACATGTCCTCACTCCTGTGTGTTCAGGACATCAACAGTCTAAACAAACAGATAGCACAGCTGCAGGACTTGGTGAGATCCCGCGCTGCTCCGGGCAGCCGACACATCCAAACCCACTCTAAGACTATAGTGGTGTCTTTACAGGTACATCCAATAATGTTAAATTCATACTATATTGTATATTTGTTTTGAGTCCAAATGCATTATTCCGTTTTAAAATTGTCATACATTTTGCTTTTCAGCCAGGGTTACCAACACTACAACAGATGTTTTAAATTAGAATTTTCACGTACCTCAAAAATGTTTAAGTTTAGAGATTGAATTGTCAATGTTGGGGAAAAAAACTTAAATGTGGGGTAGGTAAGTTTGAGAAACCGGCTCGAGATACACTTTTTGTTATATTCCATGGAATGCTCTTAACATCCCGATAGCAATGAATATCTGAAGTGCTTTGACAAAAAATCCATAAAAAACATTTCATCTGTGGAAGCCGTAGTACTGTAAAAAGCACGACCAATCATCTGAGCCGGCCCGGCTAAAATAACTGGATGGCCTACCTGCCTGTCAGCCTTCCATCTGTGCACAAACTTATCTCGTGCCCTCATTGGTCATGTGCGCGTTTGTGTGTGTTGGAGGAGGGGCTCTGTAAGAAAGTGGCAGATCTTTTCTGGTTGTGTATTTTCAAATTCTAGCGCACTCGAGCTGGTTTCTCCAAAATTACCTACCCCACCTTTAATTAATAACATATTAATCCAAATGATTAATGAGGCTTGTAAAAACATATATTTTTTAATTAATATAATCTTTATTATCAACAATTTCTTTATTATTATTGTCTATAATTTCTGACATGTCTCATAGATAATGGCATGAGCGAATGAATGTGAAATGATCTTTTACACATTTTAAATGTACAAAGCTGCATTTATTTTAAAGTGTACTTTATCTTTTGTTGTCCACAGTCCAAACTGGCTTCAATGTCCAATGACTTCAAATCAGTCCTAGAAGTTAGAACAGAGGTGAGTTGTGAATGTCTTTAATTTCCAAATGCAGACAATATTTCTGAGTACAGTCGCAGGGCTCGACAGTAACGGTTGCCATCGGCAACCATTCAGAAAAAATGTCAACCACTTCTTGGCCTTTGGTTGCCATCAGTAATGGCAACCACTTTTCAACATGAAGAAATAAGGACAGGAAACAGCAAAATGTGCGCCCCAAAAATAGATAAATGTTAATTATTTGTTGTATTAAGAGTGATATTTAATTATTGTTGTGACCAGTCGGAACCTGATACCTAAGTTGCACGTGCATTGGTGTGATTACGGAGCCAGAAAGCGATGCACGTTTACTCGCTTGCGCCGTGTGTTCGTTTTTACAAAAAATGGCAAAGCAAATTAAGTTGTTTGACTGTGGGGTAAAAAGTTCGGCCAACCCGTCAACATCTCAAACGAATGTTCAAAGTGATTCAACTGATAAAGCGCAAGGTGAACTCGAACGAAATACAAAGAGGAAATGGGTAAAGTCTTGGGAGGCGAAATATATATGTACATTCTGCTACGTTGTGCATTCACTTCCGGTAAAAGTTCCTTCAAAATCGATCTTATTACTACCAAAATAAAAGTGCAAAACGAAACTTTACCATAGGAAAATATTGGCATACAAATATAATCACTTCTATAAAAAGGTAACACATTTTAAATATAGTTAGACATATTAAAGGTAATTTACAGCATTACTAATTTATATCTAATTCTTAACTGTGAATGGTTTTCATTTATTTAACATTAGAAATGTATTAGTCTGGTCAATCCAAGACTTCAATGCTGAAGGGCCAATGGATCTATGGTGGGGGTCAGCACAAAGGTCAAGGAAACCCACATTTGAAAGGAAGACAACGGATGACCAAGAAACTAGTGACTTGCTCAATTCCTTTGAGGGATCTGTGAAGAACATGACAACAGCTGCACTACTGGTATTTTGTATGCCAGCAATTGAGGGCGGACACGTTTACTACCACTTAAGTTTCAAATAATTGTGTTAATTACTTATTGTAAAGTATTTGAACATTCTTTTGTGTCACATGTTCATTATTAAGTTGATGTTTAACTGTATAGTATCTTTAATTATTTAAAATATTAGGTGACTAATAATGGCAACCATATTTCCGTTTTGGCAACCAAAAGCTGATGCCTGGTTGCCAGCCTGGCAACCACTTTTAAAAGTTAGCGTTGAGCCCTGAGTCGTGTTTACCTCTCATCATTGCCCGTCTCCCTGCAGAACCTGAAGCAGCAGCGCAGCAGGAGAGAGCAGTTCTCCCAGCCCCCCACGTCCTCTTCTCCTCTGATGGCCAACAACTTCAGTGAGTCCATCCTCAGCATCACACTACCACTATGAGTTTACAAGGATCATTCTGGGGTAGCTTTATAAGGGCTTGTTCACTCTGTACTGACTACTATTAGCGGGTAAAAGGGAACTGTTATCCTGTCAAACCACTCTGTTTTCATTCCGTTTCACTCTAACTGGTGTAACTTTAACACGCATCACAAATTAAATCCCATTCATCTGACCTCCCCCAAAACTTGATAAATCAATTATTAACTGAATAATTTCCTGCTGTTTATCTTTCCATCCAACATGACTGTTGTGCCGGTCGTTCCTAGAAGCGTCATAGAGTGAACACACCTTTATGAAGTATTTGTTTTGGCTTTGAGGCAATATTGGCCCTTTCTGGCTGCTGCTCAGTTTACCGTTTTGCTAAACATTTTTCTAAACATATTCCTCCAGAGAGCTCAGATGCTTTCTGTTATTTACACTGCCACTCAAATGTTTAGGAACAGCCTATGTTTCAGCATCTTTGGTAAAACCTCAAACATTCTGCTCACTGTTGATATCTTACAAAAATACAAAGTTGTATTTCAATTAAAAACCTTATTAAATCAATTTAATTGATGTAAAAAAATTGAATCAAACACCAGTTTGATTATAATGGCTTTAACTAGGCCCCTGTATCACACTACATGTAATATAACCATCTTACCTTTATTGATGGACCTTTCTTTAATACAAATTATACCATTATGTCTAAAGGTACTTGAAAATAAAGGTTTACCATTTTTGAAGTCTAAACTAGGAGACTGTTACATTTAATTACATAACACAAATAATGTGTTGATTTCAAGGTTTCTGTATTTGAGTTTCTATTTATGAATTTGTGTTTATTCACAATGAGCAACTTGGTTGAACTAAGTCAGAAATGCCATAGACGTACAGAAACAGTTTGACTGGCAGTGTATTTCTCGCACAGCTGTTATGATAGGGACCTGCTCCATGTGAATGATTATTACTGTATTTGGTCATCTATAATGCAAAAATTACAAAATATTTTAGGGAGCCGCAAAAAAGGGGCCCAGGAGCCGCATGCAGCTCGCGATCCGCGCAATGGTTACCAGGGCAATACAACCTCAAATTTAAAAGGTATTTCCCTGGAACGTCTGACTCTCCCAGCGGGTATAACTAGTACTCTATGTGCCCGCTGTTCTTTTTGTTTTCCTCCCTCTACCATTGAGGATATCTGTCTGATCATTTTGAAAATGTGTTTGTGTTTTTCTCTTTGTCTCCCCTCAGAGAGCTCGGTCCTGATGCAGGATGAGTCCAGGAGTTTGGGGGACGTAGCCATCGATATGGACTCTCAGAGCAATCCCTTGCAGCTCCAGCTTATTGATGAGCAGGTAGACCGTCGCTGTGTATTTGTCAAACTTGGCTTTCTCATTTGCTAGCACAAAAGCTGTGTGTTTGTTAAATAGTAGATTTTGTAAATGTAATGAAATGCTTGCTCTAATGAGGCCCTCACGTGTTTGTTACAGGACTCGTACATCCAGAGCCGTTCCGACACCATGCAGAACATCGAGAGCACCATCGTGGAGCTGGGCTCTATATTCCAGCAGCTGGCTCACATGGTCAAGGAGCAAGAGGAGACCATCCAGAGGTAAGAGGCAGCAGGAACTGGAGGGAGAAACGTGGAAATATGCTAGTTTGCTCGTTGTGAATTGCATAACAAGAAGATATCACTCCCATGTCAGTGGGTTGGATATGAAGATCAAGTCAGGTACATTTAGATTAGCACAAAGACTGGAGAGCAGGGGGAAATGGCTAGCTTTACTCTATCCAAGGCTTAGAGAAATCTACCTCACAGCCTGTCTGATACTCATTAGTCAACACTTTTCTCTTCGAAATTTGTAAAAGGAAGACCGGTAGAAATATTTACAAGTCACCATATATCCATATATCCTTTAATATATCAAGGATTAAAAAACTAATGTCGCAACAGGATTTAGAAAAACTTGTCCATGCTTTTATCTTTAGTAGAGTCGACTACTGCAATAGTGTATTCACAGGGCTGACTAAAAAATATCTATCAGAAAGCTGCAGCTGATTCAGAACGCTGCTGCTCGAGTCCTCACTGACACTAGAAAAGTGGATCACATCACTCCGGTTCTGAGATCATTACACTGGCTTCCAGTCGGGCAAAGAATTGATTTTAAAATACTATTGCTAGTTTTTAAATCACTGAATGGCTTAGGACCGAGGTATATAGACGACCTCCTCCATCACTATGAAGCATCCAGGAGTCTCAGGTCCTCCGGGTCGGGTCTGCTCTCTGTTCCGAGAATAACCACTAAACATGGAAAAGCAGCTTTCAGTTATTATGCCCCAACAATCTGGAACAAACTGCCCGAATCATGCACGTCCGCCGAAACACTTCCTATTTTTAAATCCCGACTAAAAACATATCTATTTTCCGCTGCTTTTAATTGAGCTGCCCATACTCACACTGCAGTATGCCTTTTTAGTCATTTATTCTGTACCTGCTGTGTTTATTTATTTATATTTATTTCATTACCTTTGCTTATTATGCCTGTTTTTAAATGCCTTTTTAATAATGTATTTATGCTGTATTTGTTCTTAAATGTCTTTTGCTTTTAATCTGTAAAGCACTTTGAAAGTGCTATATAAATCAAATTGCCTTGCCTTACCATTTCAAAAGAACTTACCTGTACTAGAACATCCCAACTCCAGTACTAAAAACAACTGAAACTGGGATACACTTCTGTCTTTAGCTGGCAAGCAACTGGTGTTTTCCTTAACATTTTAAAACTATATTATACACTACTTTTTGATAAACAAGCAATACTAATTGGGGAAACTGGTCGTAAGAAGTCAAATGCTGAAAATTGTAAAATTAATTAATAAATAAAAATGCAGAATTTGGTGGGCCTTTGGATCAGTTAACATGCTTTTTTAAAAACTTTATGTACTAAAATATAAAGAAACATTAAGTTGCATTCTTAATTGACCTGTAATCTTCTTATTGCATTTGTTTTAAAATCCCTTTCTCGTGCTTCTCTCTCAGGATTGACGCTAACGTTGAAGACACCCAGCTGAACGTGGACGGCGCTCACACGGAGATCCTCAAATACTTCCAGTCAGTCTCCTCCAACCGCTGGCTGATGATCAAGATCTTTCTCGTCCTCGTCGTCTTCTTCATCATATTTGTCGTCTTCTTCGCTTAAAGTAAAGAAGAGGGAACAGCACATCGAATGAGTGGAAGTGAAGCTGAAGCTGGACTCGAGCATTTGAAGGACAGACTTCTTTATTAAAGTGACACTTACTAGGCTTGGGAGCTGCTCAGATTATAATAAAACTTTTCCATTAACACAAAGACTTTCTGGTTGTTCCCAAGCCACAGACTCTGGATCTTAACGTTTGACGATTCAGTGAAGAATGAAGATGTCAAACTCTGTCCAAATTAAAGATTAAATCATCTAAAACCCCCACTTTGTATAGAGAGAGTGAGAGAGAGCAGGAAACTGCTCGTTAATGTACTATGACCAATTATTCATAAACATTTAATCAAAATGGCTATAATTTAATGGTTTGATTCTGCAAACTGTCTTTAATTTTCTTGCTGACCCGAAATGTCATTTATTATTATGATTAGTGTTATTTCAAAGCCAAACAACTGAACTGGAGTTTATCATCAGATCATTTTGTTTCTTAGTTGACCTACTTTGCATGATTGTGTCCCTTGTTTATCAGCTATTCTTTACTTTAGGATATTTTCTATTCTCTTATGCTTTCAAAGTTTATTTGCCAAAAGGGTACTCGTATAGAAATGTGACTCAATACGAAGACGCTCGCTGCGGTCCAGCATTTCGTGTCCTGAAAGCACAAGAGACAGCTGAAGGGGGCCAGTTTAATTTGGATACGAAATAAAAAGTTATATAACGGCACTGTTTTTAAAGGAACGGTTTGGTTGAAAAAGTGTAATCCTCTTACATTCAGTGCTGCTGAAGTCAGCATGAGACGAGTACAGTATCTATAGGATCCAGGTTTGACATCAGTGCTTATGAAGGGGAAAGTCTGGGTGTGCAGGTCCACTCATAAAGTGACTCAATCAGCCAGATCCCTTGAAGTGTCTGGTTGGATGTCACCGTTGAAGTTCCTTTCCCTCTTAATCTATCCCAATGCTATTTAAATGACCACAGCTTTTTCAAAAGAAGAAAACATTGTTCTCATTTTCCCCTGTCTGTTTCTCTTTTTTAGCCAAATGCCTTGACTTCTATGTATAAAGTGCAAATAGTGATAATGATGTATTGATAAAGAAGTGCATATTAATAAAAATGATAATGGGGTTTGGCATCATGGCTGAGATGTTCTTGGGATAAGAGGATTAGTCACCAGTGGTATAATTAGCCATGCTGGGAGGCTAAGACTAGCCAACAGATCTAAGCAGGTGCAGCTTTCTGTAACATATTCAACACAACTACACTAGATGTACACAATGTGTTTATATTTATTTACAGACAGGTTTAGGCTTTCCCACTACAATTTCCATTTCACTTTTGTAGGAAAAGCTTCAGGGCTTCTATTTAACATATACATGGGGGAATAACAAAGTCACATTAAGTCTGAAATGTAAATTTAAAACAGAACAGACATCTTTCTTGGAACACACCTCAGAGAAGTTAGGAGAACATTACATATCTATATTTACAAATATACATTCACAAAATTAAAAAGATGACAGATGAAATGCGGTTTTTCCTTTGCTTGATTATACCATGAGATCTCCCAAACACACATTTGGTTGTTGCAGCAAAACAAGGATACAAACTAAAACCAGATAAGTACAGAAAGTAACATAAATAAATAAGAATGACAAAACATTGAAACTTAACAGGAGCATTTATAGACAAAGAGCCACTGTGACTTCTGTCCTAACCTGACTTCTCTCTTCTACTACAGAACACAGATTTGCTCTTGGTTGCACAACATGTATTTAAAGTTCATTGGGTGTGTATTAGTCATCAGGAGCTCCTGCAGCAGCTGTTTGTATAAAAGGATACTTGAAGCATGAAAAGGTTAGCAAAGCAACATATTTAACTCAACAAACCACCATGCAGCACATTTGAGCTTTTTGTATTTTGTATTCATGGTCCCCAGACAATGTATCTTAATGACTTCTATGATCCTCTGAGATTTCCTGTATTCCCAACAGAAGGTTCGGTGAGATCACATGTTCCCGAAATTGTAATCTCTTTTATTTGAATTTTCATTGAGTGCTTTACAATGTCAAATACTTTGGTATGTTTATGTTAAACCATTAATACCCATCAGCCCCAACTGTACTTTGGGTTTTGTGCTAATTAGCAAATGTTAGCACACTAATCTAAGATGGTAAACATGGTCAATATTATCCCTGCTTAACATCAGCTTGTTACTGACATTAGCATTGAACTTAAATCAACAATGTGTGCTACACTGTAAACATTTACCAGCATTTCACAACATTTAACAGTATTATTTTACAGTGACATATTGCAATCAAGGCTCCCTGTAATATCCCAACAAATACATGTAAAAAGGACTGTATCCTTGGATTTCACAGCATTCAACTATTATTTCTTATTACTGGGCGACTGTGGCTGTGAGGAAGTGTGGTCGTCTTTCAACCGGAAGGTTGTGGGTTCGATCCCAGCCCATGCAGTCAACATGTCGATGTATCCTTGGGCAAGATACTTAACCCTGAGTTGCTCCCGATGGCATGGCCAACGGTGTGTGAATGTGTGTGAATGTTAGGTCCTAGAGTAAGGTACACTGCTCTGTATGAATGGGTGTGAATGGGTGAATGACATGTAGTATGTAAAGCGCTTTGAGGGGTCTTAAAGACTGGATAAAGCGCTATATAAGTACAGTCCATTTACCATTTTACCATTTCCCAATAAAATACTGCAATCAAAATCCTCTGTAATCAAATGGTGTAATATCAAAACAACATTGTAAACATTGCCAGGATTTCACAGCATTTAAGAGTATCATATTACAGAGAAATATTGTAATCAAAAGCCCCTGCAATATCACAACAAAATATCTATAAAACTACAGTAAAATTAGATTTGACATTATTTAACTATTATTTCACAGTAAAGCACTGTCTACTCAAAATCATCTGTAATAGCACAACCCATTACTGTACAATTTGAATTGTGCAGCATTGCACATGTGCAGAATAGACTATTCTAACCGGCGTGTGTCCTGCAGCCACTTCTCAAACCGTCTGGAAGATTTGAACTGAGACATTCCCTATTTGATTGGACTCACGGGTGAGATGCTTTTTGTGCATTTTTTATTGCTGTATGTGGCTGACGTGATTAGTCACGTCATCCAATAGTATTTGACAGGAAACCATTGTATGAGCTTCCTCCAGGAAGTACCGGAGCTGGGGACTACAGTTATGCACGTCTATCATTGTAAATTGACAGTAAATTGCTGGCAACTATTTTGCATTACTTTCACAGTACACATTGTAAATTCACAGTAAATTACTGGCAACTCCTGCATTGCTTTCACAATAGAAATGTAAAAGTACAGGCCCTTGTTGTAATGCATGTACAACAAAATGATGTAATTTCCCAGTAACATACTGTAATATCACAGTAATTCCTTAGTCATTGAAGCTGTGAAGTTACAGTATACAGTTTTACCTTTACAACAATGCATTGTAATATCATGGATGTGAAATTACAATACATTGCTGTGAACCTTACTGTGAAAAGTCAAGCAAAAAATTGCCAGCTAATTATTGTAAATTCACAGTGAATATCTTTACAGTGTATGTACAGCTGAATACAGCCAGCCATAACCACTGTGCACATTCTCTCCCCCGACTCCCTCACCCCTGTGCACTCTGCTCCAGAGGGCTGATCTCTGGCATGCTCCTGCTCCTTCCCTTTATCGCCCTGGCCTTGATGGCCTCTTCCTCCCCATCTTCATCTTCATCTTCATCTTCATCTTCCTCCTCCTCCTGGTACCAATCCACCTGCTGCTGCAGATTCCCCCTGGAGCCTCGCATGCCGCTGCCCTTGAAAAGCTGCCCTTTGGTGAACTTGCTGCAGAAAGTGTCAAAAGAAAGGCTCTTGCTGCGCTGCTGCTTGCGGAAGACTGCGCTCTGAGTCTGCACGTCTTCAGCTCCGTTCACTTGGTCCATGAACTCGTGTAGCACTGAGCGAAACAGCCGGGGAACCTCTGGAACGTCAGGCTCGATCTGAGATACCAGCTGCCTGAACCTGCAGGAATATAACAGAAAATAGGGTACGTTATAGGCTATGATCATTCTAAGTGGGGAAGTGCCATCGCCATTAGGGGGGATTGAAGTCTTTTTACAGGGGTCCAAATCCCTCGCTACGCCCATGGTAACATATGAACTCTGATTACACCAAAGTGTCCTGGAAAGTGGATTATGTAAAGCCAGTCAGTGTCAATTATTGAATACTTAAATTGACCTGCTAATCCTTTTATCTTCAGAAACAACAGTTTGAGATCTCTAGTCAGGAAGTCCTCTGAGAGATGCAGCATATTATCTAAATTATAGAAGTTAAGTGTGTTATGAGGATTGGATTAACAGCAGCTCTTCTTCTGTTTCCTCTATTCTATGTACCTGCTTGTATTTCAAGCTTTCCGTCTTCTCTGTCACATTTACTTTTTCAATGTCTCTATGCGTTTCCCACCTGATGATCAGAGGGCCACACTCTGCAGGGGGGATCTTGGCACAGAGGTCCTGCAGCTCCAGCAGGTTGCCGGGCGTCAGCTCGTAGGGCTGCGGAGTCGGGGGGGAGGCCAGCCAGCTGTAGTTGGCGGTGGAGGAGGAGCTGCGACGCCGACCCTCTGTCAGACGCTCCAGACGGATGCGCTCAGTGCGCTTCACCATGGCCCCCAACTCCAACATCAGAGTGTTGGTCACCAACTCCTCAGAGCTGCGCTGACCGGGCACTTTGGGCTCAGAGAAGAAAACTGCAGACCAAGGAAACATCTGGGAAAGAAGGGCAGAGTCGACACACACACACACACACACACACACACACACACACACACACACACACACACACACACACACACACACACAAGGGAGGAGACCGATCTGATCGGAGCAACTGTGACAAATAATCCAACTGAAACCGGCATGGACAATGACTGTTTTAAAAATGCGATTATCCAGACAAGCCTGGTTTGGACACTTTACGGGCAGAAGAAACATTTCT